GCTGCATGGATATATCAGGAGGTCTGAATTCTTTATTCCCTTAATTCCTGTTTCCAGCAGTGCTAAACCTCCTTCCCTGAACTCAGCAGAGTTTTGAAGCAGATTAACTTTCAGCTTTCCCTGTTCTAAACATAGTGCCACCCTTCCTGCTCCTCTTGTGCCTTCCTCATTGTCACTGTCAGGAAAGCAGTCAGCAGTGCAATGCTGGGAGGAAAACAGGTGTTCAAGCTAGGTGCTGTCTGCACAGCCTTAGACAAAACAGCATAGAGAGATGGCATGTTATCTTCTAAATAAGCTAACACCAAGCACAGACACCAACGGTGAATATGAGAAGCGGCTGTGCTTGTAGGAGTGTCCCTGTTTGCAGCCACACAGTGCGGCTGATAGCAACAGCTGGGACATCCAAGGGCAACTGGAGCTGTGGAGTGTCACAGGATTCCCTGGTGCTAGAATGGCACAGCCGCAGCCTGCAGGGTATGGCTAATGAGCAGCTGGAGAGGCAGGAGGGCCCTGAGCCTTGCTCATTAGGTTTGCCACAGCACCTCGCATCAGTGAGTGCACATTAACCAGCTGCGGTAGCAGCAGTGAAGAGACTGTAGCAGCTGCATTGCTGTGGGATTTGCATGAGTAGAAGACTTGTATGTTTAAACTACCAGCTCAGGCCTTTTTCAGGCTCAAGGAATAGAGAGGTATTAATCAGGAAGTCTCTTCACAGAGCTATTAATTCCTCAGTGTGAATGTTCTTGTGCGCTGTTTGATTTACCTTTCTAATGAAAATACTCCTGCGATGAATTCACAGAATAACATTCTAGGTGGTATCAGCCACAACACAGCAGGATTTCCACTGGGAAAAAAAAAATATGGGTCTTCAGCTCTTTCTATTCTTGCCACCAATTCTGATGGCCACACCATCACACAAACAGGTGAATCACTAGCTATTATAACTGGATTGAAATTTTCACTTCCTCTCATATAAACAGCACTTAGGTTCTACTGTCTTGAATTCACCATGATTCCCAGCAGGCTGGCACTGGTCTCCTACATGTGAGAGGCTTCCATCTCATTGCTGTCACCCTGGAGCTCTGATTCTTAATTTTTCTGGAAGGTTATTTCCAAAGAGATGATTAAGATGAGCTACTTCCCACCCACTGCGAACACTTACTTGCATAAACAGATAAGCAAGGCAAAGAATCTTGAAAAGCTCTTAGAGATGAATCTAAACACACTGAATTGGATCACCAGATTATCAGTTGTTAGAGATGCTACTACAAAAAATCTATGGTTCTGGGGGTTGGGCCACTTTGTTGGAAAAATGAAATCTAAATCCACTGCTACAAAAAGTCATTTTAAGAATTTTACTAGTTCATCAATTCAAATGAAATTATTATTTAACCTGATATTTTATTACTAATTCTCGGAATTATGTGTAAGTAGAAAGAAGGAATGTCTCCGAAGTCTCCACTTTTGTCTAACATTAAACTAATGCATAGCATCTTCCCTTTCCATTTTTAGAGTATAGTTTCTCAATTAACACCTAAGTTTGAAGCTAGCAATAGGTTTTTCATAAAAGCTTGTTAAGAACAAACTTTTTTTATACATGATTGGTACAGCATTATCATATTTGAGCATTAGCATAATAATGATTTGTATCTGTGCGTATGGAATCTGTTCTGAATTGTTGCAGTTAGTCTTTTCCAAGATAGAGTCTGTTCTAAGATAAAGCAGTTCAGGAGTAAATACAGATACAATTTTCAACATCTCTGAAGTAGATAAATAATGAATTCTGATGTGTTAACATGACTCATGTTGAAACAGTCTTTCATTTCTGCCTGCTTGTCTTCTGTGTTCTAACATCTACCCTCAATGTAAGGAAACATTTATAAAATAATTACATTCAAAATAACTGTATTAAGAAAAAATAGTGGAAAGTTTTTATAGAAAGTTTAAATGTGTCAGTGTGGTGGTATAATTTTATTAACGTTTTACTTTCTAAGGGCTTTTCTTCAAAAAAATCAATGTCTTACAATGTGTAAATGCTTTTGAGTCTGTGTTGTGGTTCAACGCAGCGGCAGCTCAGCACCACTCAGCTGTTTTCTCACTGCCCTGCAGTGCAATGGGGGAGAAAACTGGAGAAAGGTAAAATTTGTGGGCTCATATAAAGACAGTTTAAGTAGGACAGAAAAGGAAGGGAAAATAATAATGATAATAATGATAAAAGAATACATAAAACAAGTGATGCAGAGTGCAACCGCCTGATGAGTGATTCCAGGCAGACCCAGATCAGCTGCAGACACCACTGGCCAACTTCCCCCAGTTTTTATTGCTGAGCACAATGCTACATGGTATGGGACATGCCTGCCATTTGCTGGACAACCATTTTTGGTAACACAGTATGGGTAGTCAGGTAGCTGGATGCTTTGAACACTATATTCCAAACTTGATTCAAAGCATTGTATTTCATTGAAATCTACATACAGTAGATAAAACAGGTTCAGAAATCTGCCATATCATTCATCAACCCAGGGAAATCCATGGACAACCAGAATTCTGGGCATGTTGTTCCACGTTCACTTTTATGGAGATTATGGAGCTCCTGGGCTACGCATTCTGAAGAAGCATCATTCATGCTCCAAAAATAAGACTTCTGTTGCAACCAGCTGCTGATTACAGACACGTAACTTCTCTATCCTTAACACTTTGAGCACTTTGAGTCACATGAGGGTTCTCTTCATATTGTAAAGATACCCTGGAACCTGAAAAGCTTGCAGTAAGATTATCTGTGTTGATTTAAAAAACTAAGTAAATTGAATGATGAAGTAAGTTGTTGATTATTATGAAACAAGACTAAAGTAAGCCTATTTTTTTTTAAAGCTGCCTACCTCTGCAGCACCATGAAGTCATCATGCCAACCCTGCTCTTATGGGGAGAAAGAGATGCATTTATGGAAGTTGAGATGGCAGAAATTACAAGGATTTATGTTAAAAATCATTTCAGATTAACTATTTTGTCTGAAGCCAGCCATTGGCTCCAGCAGGATCAACCTGACATAGTGAACAAGTTGATATGGACCTTTCTAAAGGAAGACACAACAAGAAAGAGAGAATGACTGTACATGTTCTAAGGAGTCTACGAAAAAGCTCTACAGATCTAAAAAGTAATTGTTATCAGGGCCATACTTCCAGCCTGCCTTCTATTTTGAGCTCTGTTAGAGAAAAGTGTTTTTGATGTACTGTACATTTGGACACCAATGTTTCTGCTAAAAGATGAAGTGAGTATGAGAATACCAACATTGATTTTACCTGTACACTTGTATTTTGCACATAAAACACCTGCCTTAAGATACATGTATTTGTATAGAAAGAAAATCATGGAAAATTGCTTGGTTTTGTTTTCTCCCTTGCTTTACAGTCTCTGTGTGTGGTGCCTTTATAAATTTATAATGAAATAATGGAGTGGTGCCATACAGAAGGAAGTCACAAGTTTTCATTCTCAATTTGCCTGAATTTTTTTAATGTATTTTACCATTAAAGTTATTAACTCTTTTTATTATGTATATCTTAGCATACTGGATGACTGAAAAAATTTTGGGCACATTTCTAGTCTTCAAGTGAATAATGATACGTATCTTGTTGTATTGTTGAATGCAGCTGCTTTGTGCAATGTGTTTTTCTTGACTAAAAAATGGGAACCTGTACACTCAATGTCTGAACAAGAAGAGTGGGAAATCTAACATGTATCAAAACCACCTCTGTCTAATAAAATGCAACTTACATTACTCCCTTTACCTGGCTTCCCACGGAGAGGTTTCTTACGGATGCTCAGAACGAGGTTTGAACAGCTGAAGTGTCTGTGCACTTCCTCACATGATGATTTATTGGAAACAATGCCTCGTTGCTGGCATCGGCCTTCCTATGTTAGCATCTACTGTTGTCATCTCTAAGAACTGCTGCCAAGTTTTTTTCCTAGTGTTTCAGACACTGATCCCACCTTTCCCACCTATGAATGGCACCTGATACTCAAGTATAATTTTCCCACCAACGTTTTCAACATTTATATACATCAGTAGTTACACGCCTTTTAAACTGAACTATAAATTGGGGAGATTCCTGTCTCAGAAGGACGCTGCAGAGCTGCTTTTACTGTTTACACAGCAGTCTTATCTCGGTACGAAAACCTTTGCCGGAAATTGAGGACGTTCCCCCGGCTGGCTGCGCCCCTGCGCGCAGCGCTTTGCGGGAGGCTCCGCCAGGCGGCGGGGAGCGGCCGGGGCACAGCGCCGGGACTGCGCTCCCGCCACGCCCCTCCGCGGAGGGTGGGGTCAGGCCGGAAGGCCCCGCCCCCTTCCCCGCCCCGCCCGCGGGAGGACGCTCGAGGCGCCGCGGGGAAGGGCGGGGCCGGGCGCCGCACCGTGAGCCCTCATTGGCGCAGGCGGGCGCCGGCCGCGGCCCGAGCCGCGCCGAGGGGCAGCCGCATCCTATGGTGCGACGGTGCCTTGGTCCCAGTGGCGGGAAGGGCGCTGTTCTTTCTGCCTTAGGGCCAGCGGGCCGCGCTTCGGCGTCGTAGAGCGGGGCGCTGTGACTGCCGGCACATGGCGCGCTGCGGTAGCGGAGCTGCGCCAAAGGGCCCCAGCCCGGGGACGGCGGAGCGGCAGCGGCTGAAAGAGGCGCTGGCCGAGCAGCTGCGGCAGGACCTGAGCAGGTAGGTGCGGGCGGGCCGGGGCGGGCCGGCGGTGGCGGCGGTACGGGTAACGGTGCCGCTGCGCTCCCGCAGGTTGCTGGCGGAGGGGACGCACACCGACGTGACGATCCGCGTGGGCGACGCGTCGCTGCGGGCTCACCGAGCGGTGCTCCTGGCTCGGGCGCCGCGGCTGTTCGGCGGCCTGGGCGGGGGGCGGCCGCCCCGCGAGGCACTGCGACTGCACGGACCGGGGCCCGCCGAGCTCCGGCGCTTCCTGCGGTGAGTGCGCGGCTGCGGCGGGCGGGCAGTGGGCTGGAGGAGCTCCCGGGCCCTCGCCCGGCACTTCCCGGCACTAACACCTGTTGCGAAGTTTTCCCTTTCTAAGCGGTTCTTCCACAGCCTTCCCGCCTTGCAGAAGAGTTTGCTGCACCTTGCTTATTTCCCACTGCACTGTCCCTCCTCTGACGGCACACAGCTACGTGCTGCTCGGTGTATTGGTATGGAATGTAGATGTTTGTGCAGTCGAAACAGAAAGGAAGCAGCGAAAGTGCTGAATGTATCCTTTAAAATTGTTTTTGGCTATCACTATGCTAATAGTAAGGCTAACTGTCAAAAGCAACGAAGGAAGAATGTGCCAGTGGTATGCTGAAAAATGGTCAGTGCTGACTAGGGGAGCCAGGAGGACTTCATGAGTGACGCACCAGGTCAGGAACTGCATGGCCATCCCCAAAGCAGTTATGGCTGGGGCTGAGCAGCACAGTTCCCTGGAGTGCTGGGTGAGGTGTGGGTGGTCTGGCAGCTGCTCAGGGACTACTGCAAGGGCCCAGCTGCCTTCCCATCACCAGCTGCTAGCAGCTCCGTGGTATCACACTTGTCCACTCCAAGCTTTAGGCTAGTACACGAGGGTTGCTGACTGGTGTCACTACCAGGCCTCACAGTCCTCCCTGACCCATAGTACCTCCCCTCCTTCCCAAGAGCCGAGCAGTACTTGCTTTACCCTGACAAAGTCACAGTGATGCACCTACCTCCTTAGCAGTAGTGCTGACTGGCGACATGGGTGTGCATGGGAGCAGAGCAGCAGGCACTGTCACACTTCCCGAAGAATTCCAAACGTGCCTAGAAGAGAAAATGCACTTTTAGGCTCTTGAGGGGTTGAGAGAAACGAGAAGGTGTTGCTATTCTGGAGTTAAATGCCTAAAAATAATATAGGCTGGCCTTTTGTTGTTCGTTTCACCCATTCTTTTCATAAACTTGTAAATAAGGCAGCATATGGCTGAAATATTTATTCAGGGTACAAAACTTTTAAGTATGAAATGATGTTTTTTCTATTGAGATTGATATCTAAAGCCATGTAATCAGTGTAGCTGAGCAGGCTGATAACTGGTGTTGGTCAGTTTTCTATAGGTTTCAACCAAGCATCAGTGAAACAGTGAGAAACAGAATGCAGTTTTTGTCTCATTTTTGTCTTATATACGTTAGTGCACTTTCATTACTTTACCTTTCATTTAAGTGACAGTGCAAAAGACTTTCATGCAGAAACATGATACTGTAGATGAAAAAAACTCCAAATTATTTTAAGGTGCTAATTGGGAAGTTATTGGGAATAATTATCTTAATTATTTATAAACTGCTATTGTATAACTTTACTGTCCTAATGGGATGCCTAGAGCTTTTTTTTTTCTAGGCATTTAACATGCCTAGAGCTCATAAATATTTTCTTTTGCTTTGGTCTGTTTATAGCAGGGCAAATAATGACCTCTGGAGTCCTGCAGGCTCTCCAAGAAGTACAGTCTTAATCGTGAAAAAGATCAAATCAGCTCATCTAAATAAAACCTTTTTCCATTCTTAAGAACTCTTATTTTTGAAAAGAGTCGTCAAGCTCTTTTCAATTCTTAGGTGAATTCCACACGTGTTCTGAACAGTGTACAAAGTTGCATTTTTGCAGGATTAATTTGAGAAAAAAACAACAATCTTCAGTGCTGTCTGATACTTCAGCATTTGAATTGAGTCACCTAGTAAGTTCTGCAGAAGCAAGTGCCACAGAACGCACTGAAGTTTAGTGACAGTGAAAGGCTTTGGACCAAGGAAAGGAAGTAGCTCTGGTTGAGAAGAGCTTAGCTTCACTGTTGGACTGATGACTTCTGCTAGTATCTGTGATTCGTACAGCTAAGACAAAATGACTTGGATCTTAGCATACCCCAAGTTGTGCTCTGAGTTACAGTTTGTTGAGAGGAATGTATCCTAGTTCTTGGAGCACATGAATCACTGTGAGGAGTTGCATCCTAGACCTTACCAAAGACCTGGTGCTGCAATTGAGCTCCTGAAAGAAAATTATTTTCAATAAAAGTTCTAGATTTTTTGGTTATAAATACTGTACCTCAGTAAAAGAGAAGCAGAATGCTAATATAATACTGAAGCCTTCATCAAAGCTACAAAAAATTTCGTTCCCTTTTCCTGTTTGCATTTAGCTTGTCTTTTAGCTTTCCTTGGGGATTTAGGATTTCTTTTTCTCGTAAGCTATATTTGGCTTTCATCTCAGTGAGACTTCCTTTGGGCCTCTGCCCTTCTTGTGCAAGAGGGACATAGGCCACATGTTACTTGCAGACTGGAGCCTGTGCAGCTCCCACAGCCAAACTTCTGTTCTTGAGCAGGTTGAAGGACATGGTGAGCTTTATGCTGGTCAGTGTGACCATACTTTTGCTTATACCAGCACAGCCTCAGTGTGAAATAGGTGAGCGCTGCTTTGTTTTCCCCTTTATACTTCAATGTCTCAGGACACCAGGAAGAAACTACTGGTCACAAAGAAGTGCAGCATCCATACTGCAGATGCTGATCACCCTATACATTAACACTTAAAAACACAACCAGAAATGGTCAACGGTTGCAAGCATGTCAGTGTCAGGAGATTACTGCTCACACAAGGTTCTGCAGTCTGCTTCGAGAAGTGAGAAACTCAGCATTCCGGAAGGACAACAATTTGTTGCAGGTAATTAGATCATTAATGTCTTACCCTCTGAGAGGTAAGCTGCTTTTTACCCTTTTTCCCATGAGGGGTCAGAAAGTATATGAAGTTCCATAGAATCCATACTGAATTTGACTGGTTCCTCCAGTAAGGATAGACTGTTTGTAATAAAAGATGTTAAGTGAATTTTGTTGCTGTGTATCATTACGGCGTGAGGAAAATTCTTTCTTGGATGGCCCCATCCAGCCTGGTCTGGAACTCCTCCAGGAATGGAGGCTGGGCAACCTGATCTAGTGGGAAGTGTCCCTGCCCACAGCAGGAGGTTGGAACCAGATGATCTTTGGCAAAAGCAAAATAAATTGAGTCTGCTTAGCCTTTAACGTCCATTCCAACCCAAGCCATCCTGTGATTCTACATTTTTTTTACGCAAACTGAACTATCAGAGTTTCTAAATGAGAAAATGATGCTTAGTAAATAACATGAAATCCTGAAAATCCTGATAACTGTGCTGATACATGTTAAAAATACAAATTAATTGATTGTATTTATATCATGCTTTGAGAAACAGCTGGAAAAAATATCACCTTTCCCAAAACAAATGAAATTAACAAATACTGTCCTCTAAATATGGGGAATGTGAAAAAGCTCATGCAACTACCTTTAACTTGATCAAGCAGCTAAATTTTGAATTGTGGAAGTTAAAATGTTCCATGAAGTCTCAACTTCGGTGATCAGTAAATGCTGAGAAAATTGGGAACAAATGCTTGTAAACCAAAGTGTTTTTCACCCAAATTAAGGGATTAAGGATTTTGCTCCTCTGACTCGTCTTCTAAAGACATTTGTCTATGTAACCATGTCTATGATCTGAGTTTGTTACTACAGCACATGAGCTTGGCTAGTCAGTGAGAATATTCAGAATTTGCTAAGCAGGGAATGTGGAATGGAGGGAAATAGGTCAGATACTACATGTGTTTTGTAGATTTTATGCCATGAATTTGTGTATCCTGTGTATTTTACACAGAAGTAAAATGTAATTCATAAGAAATAGGCAAAAACCTTTCACTTGGACATCGATTGCTTAAAAGGACAGATTGTTCTGCTGGCATAATTAGCTTTCACATGGAATTGTAAAATTGAATCTGGCAGCAGTGAGGCAGCTGATGTCGCATCTAATGAGAAGAAATTTACAGAAATACTGGTCACGATAAATCAATTAATTTAAAATTACCATCTCGGCTACAAAAAGCTAAGCACTATCAAGCAGATAATTCTTCTAGGAAATCTAAAGGGAAATGGAAGAATCTTAAGAGGTAAACTGAGGTTGCACATGTGACATGCCTAACCTGCGTTAACAAGGGTTCGCTGCTATAGATGTACTCCTGAAATATCTTAGCAAGTCTCCCGCTGTTAAGTGCAGTGCACAAAACTATTTGCTGCAGTTATGTTCACTGAAGTCTTTGTAAAAACCATGGGTGGGAAATTGTTGATGTGTTTTCTACATTCACTGTTATTTGATCACAGCAAAAGTTAATAGATCTTGATTATTTTGGCATTTCATTGTGATAATACATAGATCTACTGTTTGAGTAAAACTGTTTGATACAGTATTTTAGGTATCTGCAGAGGATATTTGAGGTGAAACTAGTTACTGCTTGAAGTTCTAGCACGTTATACAAAGTTCCTATTGAAAACAACGCACAGTTGTGTACAAGTTGTAAATAAAAAGAGAAACATAATTTGTGTCTGTGTCTGCTGATTGTATTATCCTCACAATACCAAGTACCCCAGTTTGGCATCTACACTTGTCCTTCTTTTATAAAGTTAACATTACATTTAACTGATAATGTGCTGCCAAAAAGTAGACTTAACCCATTTCATACAGGTCAGGCTCTGGTGCTTCATGCTTACTGTGGTATTTATGATGGAGAGTTTTCTGATGGATTTTAGCATTAATATCTGTTCTGCATTGCTAATTGAACTTAGGAGGGAAAAAAAAATCAAAATAGAAAAACAACCCTCTCTCCTACCATTGTTCTGTAATCTTTACAGATGTTCTAAGAGTCTGGACATATGTATAACATATCTACAGTGACATGTACCAGATCTTTTCTGCTTAAACACTAAGCATTTAAAAACTCAAAAGTGCTTACCTATTGACACTTATGTATGTGTACATATAAGTATGCGTGTGTGTATACATGTTTGTAGAACTATTTATGTATCTGTATATATATTTACATACACATAAACATATACATAGGTGTATGTGTGTATATAAAAATAACTTGGTTTAAGGAGAGGGAGGCTGGTAGCTGTTTTCTCCAGAAGGGCTTTCAGTGAAGAACTCTCTCAGAGAAAGCAGAATCTGTTGTAGGCAGGATTTAAAAGACTGCTTCCTAAGTAGCTGAGAATATGGTTTTAGATTTGGTTAATATTTAAATCCAGTGTTCTTTCATGCAGGTTTGTAGCTGCTTTGGGACAGTAAGAGTGGCTGTTCTAATAGGTTTCAGTAAAGCTTGTGCTAACGGTGACTTTAGGTATTCTTGGAAATAACAAAAATGAGTTCTGCATAATTTTAAATACAGATTGTTTGTTTTAAATCAAGTCTTTTTCCACCTTTTTGCTTAATTGTGTTCTTCCCATGGCTCTTAGTGGTTTGGGCCATGTCTCTTTGGGATTTTGTCCGTCTTGTGGACAGTGGCTGTGGTTTGCAGTAAGGAGACATGCTTCCTAACTCAAAGGACAAAATAAGTAGAGCATAGAGTAACTTCTCAGATCCAGAAACCAGTTGTTTGGTTCTGGCTTAACAGCATGTCTGTTTACTTGTTTTATTTGTAGGTTTCCTAGTTGTAGCAACTGGTGCCATTTTTACTGACTTAAACTTACTGGTAATAGAACCATATTCCCAAGGTTTCCTATGTAAATTATCTGAAAATACTCTAAGGATTCCCTTTTGCCTAGTTTAGCAGATTGTCTATGGGTATGTTTTTCAGTTACTGGCAGAAAGAGAGCAAGAATATTAAAACAATTATTTTTATGACAAAGCAGTACATCTGTTAGAACCAGTTCTCCCTCAATCAAGTTGTACTATCTTTACATGCTGAATATGCAGCGGCAACAGAATGGTGAGTACATAAGTTTGTGCTGAAACATTAACTCAACATGTTGAGAGTTAAGAATGAGGACTCAAGTCTTTTGAATACAGGAAGGTGATTTCTTTATATCTTTTCTCTGCCCCTTTAACAGCACAGTGTTGGAGTAGCATATGCCAATTACTGCTTTCACAGCATTAACAATAAATCCTCTTCACCGTGGAATGAGTGATTAACTGCAGATCTGCAAGTATCTATCCCTGGAATCCTAGGCAACTGTAGCTCTTCTGTTAAACTTTGTTAACTTCATCTATCTGGTATGAAACCGCAGATGAAACATCTTATCTGTTCACATTGACTACTTAAGGCTCTATTAAGTTGCTGAAGAGCAGCATCTTTCTTTAAACATGAGAGCTCTGCAGTCACAGACTGCAGGCTTTGTTAGCCTTTCCAGATCTTAAGCCAAAAATAAGTTGCTAAAACAGATGGGAAAGCGGGAAGCTGGAATTACTGTATGAGAAAAATGAAAACTTTAGACTAATTTTAACTGAAAACTTTCATGCTTTCAAGAATTCATTTTGAAATTATTTTTTTTCTCTGTGAAGTTTCACATGCTTCTTGGGTTCTTGATGTTAGTAGGTCTTTTTTTTTTTTTTTAATTTGATTTAAAAGATAATGTCTTTTCTTGGTCATACTAAGATTTATAAACCTCTGATCTATCATTACTAATGCACTTTGCTTCTACTTTTGACAGCACATGATGATGGCATATGAGTTACAAAGAGTAGGAAAAAATGCCTTTGTTCCTTGTAATTTACTGGTACAATTTTATTAGTAACGTTACTTTGGTTCTTTTTTTGGGAGGGGAGTGTTAAAGAAATGCATTTGTTTTCAGAGTTTTAAAAAGTTTTCTTGTTAATTGCTCTACAGCCCAGCCTTTTTTTTTCCTTTCTGTTCATGAACTTTGTTAAGCAAAAAATGACATTCCAGATTTTTTTTGGTTGGTAAATTAAAAAATTGCAGGAATGAAATTCAGTATCATCTTTTAGGCTTGTATATTCATCTGATAAAAATCTTCAAGAATCTGAGGAACTGGCTATGATGAAAAAAGTTCTGGAGTCCAAATTAATACAAGAAAACAACAGTGCTGCTCTTCAGAACAGTGCAACAGATGTAAGTTGTCTTGGAGATGACAGAAGTGCAGCAGCTGATCAGAATGCTCTAAGCAGAGCTGTTCAGAAAGAAACTGCTTCTTCACCTAGCAGTGAAGTGGAAATTCCTGAAGGCATTGATGCAAAAAGTAACAAAGCCATGGCAGGTAGGTTTGCTACTATATTCTCCTTGGTTTTGTTGTGTTTGTGTTTTGGTTGTTTTTTTTTTTCCTTTTAATTAATTATCCAAAGGTTTATATATACATATGTAAAAATGAGGGAAAAGATTAAAGTTTTTGTTGTAACACAACCTACATGGATATTCTTTGCTATGGTCTACCTCATTTTCACATACCCTGAAAAAATGAACTGCTGGAGAAATTTGGCAGGAACAGTTCCCTACCAGTCTGTAGTGGAAATCTGTTAGAATGTGCTAAGCACTACTCATGTACATCCTCACTGTATCCTGCTTTTTCTATGTAGTGCAGCAAACTTCAGTCCTGAGCACACAACATCTCTCCCCCAAGCCCCCTGCCTTTTCTTTTTTTTGTGATCCTACTAGTTCCACGTGTCTTATTTTATGAGGGCTTTGGAATCTCTCAGAGCTTTTCCTACTGCAGTTGCAACTGCATCCATGCTGGAGGTGGTTGCTGCTACAGCTGTGTCAGTGGGGTAGGGTCAAGCATCCCACCTGTTCAGACAAAAGCAAGTAGCTCTACGTAACCATGAACTTCTTGAAAGTCTGCTTCTCTTGAGTACTGAGGTACCAGAGTTTTGTAAAAGAAATGAACTGGCTATGTGATCTTACAAAAGAGTCACTGTAGCACTCTTGTTGCATAGATACATAACGAGAAGCACTGGTCATTTTTCAGTACCTCTGCTCATGATGCCAAATAAAATGCACGTCCTCCTGCTAGCTCTGAAAAACCTTTCAAGGAGAATTCTACTTCGAGTATGCAGTGTTAGAATCTGACATCTGAATTTTTTTTTCTTTCAAATATTTCAAATTGTATCCTGAAAATACTCCAGTGTACACTAGACAAAGTGAAAATGGCTACTTTTCTCCACCTGCAGGTAATTACAAGCTAGAAACAGCATCTGCATTAGGAGATGACTTATTGAGGCTCTACAAGAAACGCTGCTGTCCAGATATAAATATTTGCATAGAAGGCAAAGATTTTCAAGCTCACAGGTATATAAATGATGAGTTTCTTCTAAGTTTACCATTGTAAACCCATATAATGACTATAACCTCATGTATAAATACTGTGTAAGTTTTCTTTGCTGACTTTTCAAAACTAACCTGTGTTCTCTATAGGAAAAGAAAAATCTATGAATAAACTAGTCAGCTATTGCTACTGAATAAAATTACCATACAGATTAAAAAAAACAAAACAAAACAACTGAGTTCTTTTTTCTACTCTTCAGAATCTGTGCATACAAAATTTGATTTCATGTTGATTACATCAGTCATACCTATGTACAGACTGCTAATCTACATTCAGGAAGTCAGTGGCCTTTACTAGATCAAAAGTCCAAGACCATTTAAGAACTTTGGCCCACTTGCCTTCTGTAGGTTGGGAAAGTAAATTAAAGGGGCAGTACTATTCTTACCTTGTACATTTGATCAGTCTGCTTGCATGCAGTGTTTGCATCTGGAGTAGAAAATTGAAGAGCCTGTGTTTTGCTTGCTTTATGTACAAGTAAATAATGGGGAGATGCTCAAAAACCTCCACTACTTTCAGTATTTTCTCAACTGGTGTTGGTGTACTGGTAATATAACTGGTGTTATATTACTGACACTGGAAATATTTTTACAGGAGATGCATCATAGTGGTGGTGGGTTGTTTGCTTGTTTGAGGTTTTCCATTTGGTTTGTTTGTTATAAGAGAATTAGGATATATACTAGATTTCCAGAATGGACTGTGGTAGGCATGTTTTTTAACTCTGGTCTACGCTGTAAGGCATGTTCTCAGAGTGGCAACTGTTGAGAAATGAGTACTTTATTGCAAAAAAATATTTTATTGTACAGAAGTATTCCATCATCTGAAATTCTTTAATTTAGGCCATCCACTGCCCAAAGCAATGGATCTAGTCTAACCAGCATTTAAAAAATGTGGCAGTAAATCATAGAGAAAGCAAGGAAATAGGCACAATAGTTAGTTGTTTTAATACCACATCAAATGAACAGCAGGAATAAACAAAAGAAAGCTAACTTTGAGTACAATCATAATGAAAGTACCAGTATGATTTAAATGGATTTGTTTGTTTGTTTTTAAATTCTAAGACTGAAGATAGTTGAATCATCTCAGTACTCCTTAATTTCTCACAAAGTCCGATGAACTTTCATTAGACTTTAAACCAGAGCAGCACTCTGAGAGAGTTGAGAAGCTATACCTTACTGATGCTGTTGTATTAGAGTTCTGTGCAGCAACACAATGTGACGAGTAATTGACTTGTGGCACAAACCACAACAGAAAAACAGGTACTTTTATGTCAAGTTCATATGGTACATTGATATAGCTCATAAGGTACGCTTTTATCGATGCTGTATGTTTAGGTAGTAGGTACTTGTCAGTAGTCTGCTAATGACTAACATTCATCTGAAGCAGAACGACAAAATTAGACGTAGTGCACTCCATCTCTATGATGCTGTGAAGTGTCTTGCAATAGCAAGATAGCATGCTCAGAGCTGTGATATAATACCCATTTACAGGTGGACATATTAAACTGCAATGTAATACATTCTGTGAAAGCTTAATTTTTGTTATTGCTCAGTATACCATTGGAGGAGTGCCCAAGAAGTTCCTAATTTTAAATATTGAGGCTCCCAAAGGAGGAAGAAGAGAGAGTTATGAGCGACTGCAGAATATCTGACTAGAAAAGAAAGCATAAATAGCATTCTTCTTACTACTTCTTCCTATGCAAAAATGAAAGTGCTATGAAACCTTTTAAGAGCCAACAAATATTTGTTAAAAAAAAAAAAAAAGTATTCTCATGCCAGACATAACACTTGGTTTTTCTGCCACAGGAAGTACATGACAAATAGGAGTTTTATAAATAACAGGAATCTTAGTAAGTGCTGGGGAAAGAAAACCCATATGCACAAGAATAGCCTCTACTGATACCATAATCCAGATAGATGCATAAAGGCCAGTGCTATAACTGGTATAAATCTGGAAGGCTGAAATCATAAAACAGTTCTCATCTATTATCTTCTCTTGCTTTCTGCCCTTTCGCTTCCACCATAAGAGGCTCCTGTTGCTAATGTTTCCTCATCTGTTCTCTGAACACCGATACAGGGAGAAATACTGCTGGCCGGGGGTTTCTTTATTGCCTTTGAAGTAGTAGTAAATTGGATGAGCCCTTTTATAGCCAGTTATGCCTTTTGAATATGCAATATGAGGTAGTAAGTCCGAACAGAACAGATAGCTCTTCACAAATAGTGCTGGAAGCACACGGCATATTGTTGGATTATGTTGTTATTAAGTTGTTTTTTTTTACTTCTAGGATGTGCTTGTAAGTGGCCAGACAATTTTGAGTAAAAAACCTTATACTTTTCATTTAAATGGAGAGACATGTTGTAGTGTAAAGAGAATTTTATGCAGAGGTTCAGGATATAATCATTTTGCCAAAATGATGCTGTACGAACAAGATAATTTACTTTATTTGGTCAATAAAACAGAAGAAATAAATGTGCAGCTTTGTATTACATAAAAGGAAAATATTTGTGACAATAGATTTCTTCTTAGTGGATGTCAATCATACTAGATGGAAGTTGTAGCAGAGAAATTTAGAGTGCTTTTGTTTTATTCTTCAGTATATTTTAAAATTCTAAATATACTGAGGGATAAGGCATGCAGTATACAGATGACACCTTAATACATAAAGGGCAAAGATTAAAATCAGTGTTATCAAAGAGTCTCATAATAAGTATTTGTATCTAGTGAAATAATGCTTATTTTGTTCTCTCTCAGGGCCATTTTATGTGCCAGATCTAGTTACTTTGCTGCTATGCTGAGTGGAAGTTGGGCTGAAAGCTCCCAAGAGCGCATCACTCTTCAAGGGTAAGTGTTGTCTTTGCGAGCCATGTGAGAGCAAAGGTATGCAATTTAAAATCACTGCAAATATATAGCAAGTGTGGTGTGCACTGAAAGTTAATCTGCCCTGACATTTTTGTTCAACCTGATACATTTCCTGACTACTGTTTTGACTTAGGTATGAAAATGGTGTATGTATATTTAACATGTCAGATGGCTCAGGGGAAGTCTTTTTTGTCAACAGAAGAGTACCACTACTTTTTTTTTGTAGTGTATTTTAGTATTCAGTCTATTTGTAGTACATGTCATGAAAAGTATCACAGCTGGATGAACAGTGTATCTTCATAGCTGTTTGTACAAGCATATTTACGATGTAAAAACAAAAAATACCTATTTCTTAATTAGCGTTTGTTTGTTTATTAATGATATCGTGTACAGTTTTGATAGTGTGCTTGTTCATTATGTGTAAAAGCTGAAAATAACTGAGCTGTCAGTGCAGGAGAAATAGTTCAGACTTTGTATCTGCAAACTGAGGGCTGCCACATTAGTTATGTTCCCATAAAGAAAGATTGAGAGATGATCTGCACTTGTTTAGCTTGGAGAAGACTCCAGGGAGACCTCATTGTGGCCTTCCAGTACTTAAAGCTTATTTCCAGGAGGGAGACCAACTTTTTACACGGGCAGATAATAACAGGACGAGGGGGAACGGTTTTAAACTAAAACGGGGAAGATGTAGGTTAGAAGTTAGGAAGAAATTTTTTTCTCAGAGGGTGGTGAGGCACAGGTTACTGAGAAAAGCTGTGGGTGCCCCACCTCTGAAATTATTCAGGGCCAGGCTGGATGGGGCCTTGATGGGGCGATCTAGTGCGTAGCAACACTGCTTGTGGCAGGGGACTGGAAGTAGATGATCCTTAAGGTCCTCTCCAACCCAATCTGTTCCATGATTTTGTGGCTACCATGTGTGCTGCCATGTGTGTCAGTTTGTGCTTCCTAGTGTGTTGCCACCATTTATATCTTTTCTTTTTAGTCATCAATATCTGCTGCTTAAACATGTCTAACATTGTAAGGGATCTTAACTCAGTCTGCATGTCAAAGTTCCACTTACAGTAATGTACACAGCTTACAGGTTTTGAAAATTGCACACACACCTCTGTGAAGGACTTCCAGATTTCTTAATCTGAATCCAGCTGTAAAGACTTTGTCTAAATATTTTGAAATACAACATTCCTACCTCGTGTTGTAATAAAACTGCTGACTCTATTTTTACTGCAGGAAAAGCTAAAATATGTTTGTAAAAGTAATGAATTTAAAACATTATAAAACAATTGTGAAATGTGTGCCTACTTAAAAACTGACTTATTACCACTAGTAAAGGACTTAGGAAAGATTTAAAAAAAAAAATCCTTTCTGCATATTATCAGCAAAAATAATCTCAATATTTAGATAATTGTCAAATCTTACTTGTAGATAGTCTGCTTAAGACTAATAAAAAAAACTACTGAATATGAGTTCAACCAAAATATCGTCCGTAGATACACTGCAGTGATCTAGAAAATGTATGTAATATTAACAGGTGATTCCTGATAATTCCATTACCTTCCATTCACAGAATGGCTGGATGATGTATCACCCTTTTGATAAAAAAAAAATTTTATGTGAAGAAATATAGCTTTACCTATACTTGTTTTTCATCTCTATTTGTGTTTGGGTTTCTTCTTTATGTTTTCTCTTTGCAGCTTAAGCCATATAGAAATGAGTGTCATCTTGCATTTTATATATGGAGCTATTCTGGACTTCCCAGATGAAGTTGATGTTGGGTATATGTCAACCTTTATTACTTCCAACTGTGTTATGTGCTTGTTCCATAATTTCTCGTTTAAGAGTCTAAAGGAAATTTCCTCTTGTAGAATAAATACAGAGATGTAAATATCTTGTAAATAAGACAAAGATGTCAAGGGTAATGATTATTACACCTAAACCTATTTGAGGAAATTCCTATAAAATAGCTGTTGAACAAATATTATTTATTCAGCAGCTACTGGAAAAGGTGGACCAGGTTACTACCAGGCTTTTGTAATAGTATGCAAAGACAGTGAAAAACAGGAGGATCTATAGCTGAATAATATGTGTTTGCTTGTACATTTCTTTTAGCTTTCAGAACAATACCTACAACATAGTAATAACAGCAAATATTTGGAATGTATTCTGAAACCATCACTTGATGTAACAGCTATGCAGTCTTAAATATGCCAATATAACTGTTGGCATTTTTTTCTGGTGTAATTTTTAAACCCAGTTTCATGTTGCTATTATATGATAATCCTGTTTTAGTGAAATAAATTCTGAAATGTATGAATTAGTTTCTGAAATGATTTGTTTGTTAGCTTTGGAACTCTGCCACTAAATATTAAAAAAAAAAAAAAACTAAAATAATATGCCCTGTAATGTCAAAATTTAGATAATTAATTGATTATTGAAAATAAAGTGAAAGTATTGATTATGATATGAAACTATTAATTTTGTAGGCACTATGGTTTTTACTATTTGGAAGGGACACAGTTTTCAGATACTGTGTAATCACTAACATTTTACGTAGTGCTTGGGAAAATTACGAAATGCCAGAACTCCACTGGCACAAGTACCTTCTTCACTTGTTACACTTCAGGTAGAGAAAATGTGAGCTCTTATAAACCGTCTCAGCCAGGAACTGAGAAATTCTGACTAAGCAAAGAGGTGAAATTAGTATGTAAATTGTCTTGTAAGCAGAATGCATATATCCCAACGATTGCTTGATTCCTATTGTTCTTACTTTCTCTTTAGTCGCATGTTGGGCATTGCAGATATGTATGGGCTAGATGGGTTGAAAGAAGTAGCTATCTACATTTTGAAGAGAGATTACTGCAATTTTTTCCAAAAGGTACGTCAGTTCTCATGCTACTTTGTCAACTATAAAGCCTAAAGGAAGAATTTTGATTCCATTACTTACAGATCATATTGATGAGATACTTAGCAGCCATGTGGTTTGTGTTTTGGCTGAAGTCAGCAGAACGTGTTCCTATGTGTGAATCTGTTAAACTCAGAAGGATTGATGATGGCAGTAAGGCCTGTGTTATCACCCACCTATTTATAGAAACTGCCGATAAAAAGCAATATTCTACTCCACAAACTACATTAAATTACACGGAATAAAATGTAAAACATTCCATTGTATATGTAATTATTCTGAACAGTAGTAGGAATATGTAAATACCACATACTTGCGTATCAGATTTCGTGAACGTCTAGTTAAAATTTATTCCTGTTCAGTAAAAGCAGTTTAAAAACAAACAACTGCTTAGAGTCGAGCATTTTCATGCGTTAGGCTCATTAAGCTGAGCGCTACTTTATTAACCTGCAGCAACTAACACTAGTTCCATTTGAATTTGTAGCTCTATACAGTTTCTCTACAATAACTGTGATAACTTTTTAACTTCAGCCTGTTCCTGGAAAACAGCAACCCGTATTAGAATGCATGGCTATTGCTCACTCACTGGGAGTGGAACACCTATATGCTGCCTGCATGAAGTAAGTTAAAATGTAATAAATTATTATTTATGTTCTGTTTGTTTGTTTGCTTCTCTGCTTTCTATTGTACTTGGAGAGATTGGGTTTATTTTGACTTACAGAAGTTCACCTTTTAAACACTTTTCCTCATAGGACTTTAGTGGAATCACTTGCACAAGAACACTTATTGTCAAGCTTACCTAAAGAAGACACTTATTTTTTTTTTTTTCAACAGATGGGTAGGAAAACATTTTGCAAAATGTTTGTCAGAAAGAAGTTTTGCCACTCTACCTACTGAACTGCAGAACAACTGTCTTGTTATGTTGATTAAGTCTTTGGTAAGTAGGGTACAGTGTGTTTTATATAAAACATAGTACTACTTTTTACAGTGTATTTAGCTTTACAATGTAATTCAAGAGAGAATTTTAGTAGTATTTTAGACCTATAGTACAGTTATACTGAGTAGAAGTTACCAGTAAGACAGCAGTGTAGGAAACAGCAGCTACATCTGCAGATTAAAATCTATGTTTGATGGAACTCAATCTAGAGAAAATCACACCCAGTATAATAATAAGAAAGAAGTCTGTGAAACACTGCTGTGACTTCAGCACAACGCTGTATATTCAGAGGGTGAGCAACAGCAAATTGTTGAATCAAAGATTATGTTAGGTGGCAGCATGCACTGTCTGTGATTGCCTTCTCCTCTTTGCCTATATTCTAGTTTGGAAACTGAACCTTTTTTTTTTCCCCCACATACTTCAATCAATCACTGATTTTTCAAAAGTACAGTAACAGTACAGTACACCGACCTTCACAGGTGACAGTACAGAATTGGTCTCCTCAGCTCAGCATTCATGGTTTGTCATACATTTACGTTGTTCCAATTTTGATCTGCTTGATCTGATCAAACTTTATTATTGTTTATACATAAAACTACCCTCAGAGCTGTTTGAAATGGAGCTGTTATTTTAACAGGAATTTGGCCCAGTAATTAGCCTATAAATACACAGAATCGTAACACAGATGTGAAGAGTAAGTAGAGGAGCTACAGGTAAATTTGTACTGCTGTTGCCAGATATGATTGTGAACTAGCTGTGAACTAATGTGGTCTAGCATACACAAAGTTGAATGTAGGTAGCTCAGATAACAGTCACAGCATGATTTTGTTTTGTGTTTGTAGTAGACAGCTGAGTATGTGAGGTCTTCAGAATGCTTTTATATCTCATGCTTAAGACTTTATTCTCATGTCACTGGGCTGTTGTTGTCCAAGGTAACTAGCTTAGGTATGGCTACCCACACTGCCAAACATACTCCCTAATTCAAGAGATGCAAGCCAAATAATTCTGGCCAAGAACTGCCCCTCAATGAAAGGCTTCCCAGGACTTTTTTGGATGACTTAGCAAGAGAAAACTTACCTCTTCGAGTGCTGAGGCCAGTAAGTGGTGACTGCTACTGCATATTCAGGTGAAAGCCTGAAAAAACAAGAGATTTCAAAACTATATGGCTGTACTTGAAGAAGACTGTGAGTATCCACAACTATAAAAAGCAGTCGTTCTACCAGCATGCTTTGATTTTAAACAGAATGAAGATAGTAGCTATAGCTTTCAAGATAGTACGTGTGTTTTGGCACTGTATTAGATCAGTACACTCAGTTCTTCCTGCAATATTTAGGTGGCTTTGTGGTATGTCATACAATGTGTAAGTATCTGAGAAGCTTTGAGTATAGCTTTCTGGATCGTAGATCAGTGCATTGTGATCTGCACCCTTCTCTAAACTAGCTTAAATGTATTGCATAGACTAGAGTGTACTCTGACACAGCTCTAGGCTCCCTTCCAGACAGTGAGACAGTAACAGGACAGCATGAAAGTAAACCCACACCACTACAGGTCTTTCTTCCCTTCTGTGCCTATTACAATAAGACAAGATGCTGTGGATGCAGTTTGTGCTGAAATTCATGATTTGTCTTTATCTATCAGCTTTTGCACAACAATTATAGACTGTGGTACTGGGTACCACTCTAGCAGTGTATCCAGCCCCTCCAGAAGATTTTGGAGTCTGGACTAAAGTGTATTTGGGTTCCTGTTCTAGAGAGTTAAATTTTGGTCAGTCTCTGCAAGACTCACCAATGTTTTATAAACTGAAGCCTATAGAACTTCTGTAATCACAAATTGGACAAACAAAAAATAAGCCTCATCTGCCCACAGAACAGTTCTGCTGAGTGATCATTTAATTCTGGGCAATTAAGACCCCATCCGAAAACTTGTATACCTCACTCTGAAGTTTTTAAGAACTCAAAATCTACAAAGATGCTTCAAGTTGCTTAAGGGAGAAAGAAGTCTAACGTGAATTTTGCAAGAACTATCCTGAGTGTTGCAATCCTCACAGTGCTCTGCTGTAGAACTTCTTAACAGTTATATCCAGTTAAACAGTATCACTTTTTTTATTCTTTCATTTATCAATATTGCGAACATAAAACCTTATAAATATGGGGCAGCCCTTAGAGAGGCAAAGAAAAGGTGAGTGAGTAGAAAATCTCTGGGAAGGCACTGCAGTAAGTACAGAAATGTTAAAATGGGATTCCAACTAGATGTAAGAAAATTACCAATATTTTTTAGGTAAGTAAAGTGAATTTGATTTTAGAATGGTTAGAAAAACCATGATGAGAGAAGTCAAATTCAGCTGGAGCCCCTCCTGAGAAGCCCTGATTTGATTAGATGATTAAGCCATGTGTTAGCCAGTGGAAGCTGCCTTCAGTTAATAAATAAATGTGAATAAATACTTAATACAAGCATGAACGAAACAAAAGCACTGACCAGCAATAGATAGTAGGAAATTAATTTTCGTATTTTAAATGTATCATTTTCAGAGCTATCAAAATCAAATTTGTTTTCAAAAAGGAAATGAACACATCACTGGATCCTTGTGCAGCATTCAGTAACTGAACAGAAGTTCTCTTACAAGCAGCAATTCTTCGGACAACAGGCTAATTTTTGCTTTTATTTTAAGAACCACAAGAACGTTGCTTCACTTTTGATGGAAAGTGACCGGCTGATCAATAGTCTTCCCCAGGTGAAGTGGACCGAGAGAGCTGTGGCCGTGGCATCTAGGCTACAAGAAGAATGCTTAACTTTTATTGTGGCAAACTTTCTACATGTAGTACAAAGTGAAGGCTTCTATATTCTGCTGCAGGTAAAAGTGCCCTCAAGTTGCTCTATTTCCAAATAAATTGTATGACATCACACTAAGCCAGGCTGTTAAATAATCAGAATAGGTTCAACTTTTGCTTCAACACACAATTATATATATATATGGGGAAAAAAATAGGCAATGCTAAGTTTAAGTGTCGTTAACCCATATTAAGGGTTAATACCTTTTTTGAGTGTGTGCCTCAGAGTAAGCGTTCACAGAAGAATTCAGTGAGACAATCTCTGTGTTGCATGGAGATAAGTATGTACACCAGCTTCCCGAACTTCGAGCTCCCGGACTGACAGCTTGTACTTATAGGAATAACTATTGGCAGCATACTCAAACTTCCACTGATTTTTTTGTTGCAAGAATTTGGCAATGCCACAGATCCTAGTTAGAAAATACCTGTTCATAGCAGGTAAATTCCTCCAATGGAAAAAAAAAATGTGTAAAGGGTCAAAAAAAAAATATGGAGATGTTAAAACATTTTGTCTTTGAATTTAGAGTTTTCTGTGGAGACAAATTCATCACAGCATGTTTGTTCCTAAACTCTGGATTAGCAGGAGGTCTCAACACTATTCATTAGATGCCCAGAGTGGAGCATGTATGTAATGGATGCGTGGGAAAATGCTCAACTTTTGGAATGCTTCCTGCACTGACACAGCAGCAGATTCTCTCTGCTATGTAATTCTTTTGTGGATGCAAAGTACATTCTTTTGTTTTAAACATCTGCGTTCTGTTGTTTTCTCAGGCACAGGCAATGAGCAGCAAACCTGATCTCCTAGAACTAATTTTTAATGCAATTGAGAAAAATACAAATAATGAAAATAGCTGCTTTCTTCTTGTAGCTGTGGATACGTTGTTGGACTCCGCAGACGTGAAGGAGTTGGTAGGTTTTGCAACGTGCAGTGTTTGTAGAACAAAGTACTCAGGTATTTACACTTCAGAATTCCAGTTACATGATGTAGTTTGAGTTCAGGTGGCACAGTCCTGCAGTTGGGCAGAAAAGCATCTGCATAAATGCAAGGACCTGCTGGTCATCTGCCTAAGATATTGGCATTTATTTAGCGGACATCAATACTTTTTTCTTTTAAGGAGAAATACTATATATGGCAATAACAAGGTGTATTACTGAGAATGTAAGTCCCACGGGCACTACTGCTCTGCTGATCTTTACTGTTGCCTCAGATTTGTCATGAGGGAAATGTTATGAAAATGTTGCATTACGTGAAACTTACAGAGTAAGGGAGCATCATTTGACTGTGCATCTTTTACCCTTCTTTTTGTAAAAGTCCCAGCTATGTTTTTTTTTGTTTCAGACTTCTGAAGCAAGGGGTGCCTGTCAACCAAGTGTGTGTTTTTGGGACTGGGGGGAGCTGTCAGTCTCTGTCTAACATGTCATATATATTCCCACAATCTAAATAACGAACAAAGATATTTAAACTGTGGTTGGCTGGGGATAATTCATGAATAATATGACATACTGATTAAAATCCAGAATGATGCTACAAGCAAAGAATAAATGCAAAATGAATTACTGCAATCTGGTGCTATTATAGATCTTGGTAAAAGCAATGAAAATTTAATCAGATACATTATTTTTCCCTGGAGTATTTGACCTTGTTGTGACACAGCTGACAGTAAAGAACTATTAAGGGGTTCATTAAAAAAAAAAAAAGGAAAAGAAAGAAGAAAAAAATAGGATGTAGTGTTTTCTAGTGTTTTAGTCTGCCTTGAAGAGATTTGATGTCAAAGTACTGTAAAAATTACCACGGTGGGCAACAATCCTTCAAAAACAGCATCTCTATCTACCAGGCCATTATAAAATAAAAGTGATGACATCATTGATCTAGCTTAGGGAGTAAGTAGATTCTGAAAGGAATAATGACTGGTTGCTATGACAATATGCCTCTCGCCAGCTGCTGATTTGTTACTTGAACACAGGGTTTTACGTGCAAGATCCAGGCTCTGCGTGATAAGCTCTGGGTCTTCCTGGTTCAGTCTTTTTATGCTGTTCGTCACACAGAAGGCTGGAAGCTGATGCGGCCAGACCATCAACAGAAAATACAAGCAGGTATGTCTGGCATCAACTGGCATTAGAATTTTTTTAGTAATCTGTTTAGCAGATAAAATGTAGGTGATATTGTGGAGCCAGATACAAATTAAAGCACGGTTTGTCATCCTATGGGTTTCTGAAATGTTATGTTAGAATAGCATGCTTAGGTAGTTTCAAATGTAGAAATCAGAAAATCTTCCCTGCTTTTATTTTCAGGAGAGTATATGCTGGGAAGCAGAAATACCTAGATTGATTCTACTCTTGTTTACAGCTACTCTAAATCATTTAAAATACTGCAGTGGGATTAAAAGCCTTATCTGTCTCATTTTTAAGGAGATAAGCACCATGGAAATATTAAATGTACACAAAACAGAGGATGCGTTCCATGAATTCTGTTTCTGTCCTTTATCTTATTCTACATAATGCATAAATTTTGCTTGTCTCTTGCATAATGCTTCTCTCGGGCTCTGGGAGTAAACGCAGCCAGCTTGCCTTCACAGTTGATTGGTATTGTGACATTGTGTGTGCTACTGCAGAGAGCCCCTAAGGAGCTGCACAGTGTTCACTAAAAATTGTAGCAGGCAGCACTCCCAACAAAAAGGAGTTTTTGTTCTGTGCGTTTCTTTGTTTTGAAGCCCACAAGTATCCTGAGGGTGCGGAACCAACCATGGAGTTTGGGCTGCGGCTGAATATTAGCTTTGACGGTACAATGCTGTAACAGGAAAGAATGTTTAAGAGCTCTTTAAAATCAAAGCACTTTTGATTCAAAGAAGGTAAACATTTCAGTGTTCTTTTTGTTAAAGACTTCAGGAGCTAGGCTGTGGGAGCTGCAGAGCTGTTTGTGCCGACAGGCTGATGAAAATTTTATTCCAGAATTACAACATGCTGAAAGAAAGATGCAGCGTCAGTCTTGGAGCGTGATTTTGGGGTGTAGTCAAATAAGAGCTCGCTGTTACTGGAGAAAACAGATTTGTGATTGTTTTTTTCTGGATTATGAAGTTCGTCTGAAGCTAAGGAGCTGGCTTCAGAAAACAGAAGGGTCTGTTTGCTTTGTTCATATGATTGTTCCCTTATTGTAAATAATGTTCAAACTGTTTTACACTAGAGCTTTCAATATGAAACAAAACACTTAAGATTGAGGTGTGCCTTAGTTGTCCAAACTCCATCTTGCCAGATACTGTTTTGCTTTCTTCTAGATTAAATTGTAATCCAGAGTTAGCATACATGTTATCTGTAAACAGCAGGGCTGCATGAATTATCTGGTTTTAATTACAGGCAAAAAAAATCACATAATACTGGTAGACAAATTTTAATCTTCAAGTGAAATTGGGCTCAGATGATTTAAATAAACTTCTGTCTTAAAGATTTCTGGCAATGGAGGTGTGTCTTTTAGGATTTTAACCTAACCATTTATATAGAATGGGTGGGAACACTGTAACAGGAGGAAAAATGCCACAAGAAGACAGATGATATTGTGGGTTCTATCATTCACAACGTGTCTTGTGCTTTCTTAGGCACAGGTTTGCATGGATTTTATCTTAATGTGTTAGTATGTATTAAAGTGCAGAGTCATTGCTGGAAAAGAATTAGGTCCCCTGGGTGCCATTTTCAGCATATCTTCTCTTCTGTGATTTTTACAGCACTACAGTTAAAAATATTTTTGTTACCTTACATAAGAATTCAACAGAATTTTTGTTTCATTGTTACACATGGATACATTTTTGTATATGTACAAATATACATCAGAGCACGAGGGACTGAATGATTAATTTTTAGTAACATTGCTTAAAAGCTCTTTTTCAGCTGAAACATTTGGGAAGAAAAAAAAAGGAAACCGTATCGATTCTGGGTGCCTACATGACTATAAATATCCTTTTCTATTCTGTAAACTCAATTGATTTAAAAGCTTTATTGAAAAGCGCTTCTCTCCCAGAGTAGAACAGGCAAAAAAAAAAAAAAAAAAGCATTCAATGCCTGCAAATTTCACATGACAATCACAGGGATTGCTCTCATGACATGCAGCTGTATGCTATTTAGAGAGGCACCGTGACCTTACTGTGTACATTCAGATTTGGCTTTGCCACTGTTGAAAATTAATATAATTTAGCTTACTGTAATCAATTTCCTATTTAAATAGTAGAATTTATAATTGTCAGTAAATCACTTAAAAGTCACTCTAATTCTGACAGTCTCTCTTTTTTGTAAATTTCTGTCCACATTTTGTAAGGCCTCAGTACACTTCAAGCGTTACATGAGGTCAGACTGGATCAACAGAAGTGTGTTTTCTGTTTCTCTATCTCCACAGTAAGGGTTAAACAACTTGCTTGTGGCCATGTGATGTTACAGAGATCGCATTTCTCTTTCCAAACGGAAAACCGTATTTTTCCATTTAACGTTTTCCATGTCACCAAAATTAGCCTTCATAAAGTAAGGATGAATTGCTCTCTGATTTCAAATGAGTGTAGTCTGAATTGTTCAGTTTTCTTTTCTGCTAAATGGTCAGTAAAGGGCTTTTCCTTCTTCCAGCCGCATTTGACAAGGGTGATGACAGAAGACTTGCCAAAAAACCTGTATTCACTAGTTCTCAGGTAAACTTCATCTCCAAATATCAGAAGTACTCAGAAGCTTGAAAACATAACTCTTTTCATTATTTGTTTTATATTCAATATTATTTGTCTAATTTAATTAACAGATTTTCCTTTTGGAGAATTTGTATTCCATTGGTGAAATTCAGTTTCTGCACAATTAGTAACGTCCATTATTTTGAAACCTCTCAGGACTTGGCTTTATGCAGATAAGCTCAAATAAAAGATAGGAATTTGTGTTCAGAATCTCACATTCCCCTGTTGCTACGTAATGAAACTGATCTGTTTCCCAGGCCAAATGGTTTGCTCCTGAGCTAATGAATCTCTGCTGCTGTCACAGCCATGGCAGCACTGTGTCTGTTCACTCCCTGCCCTGAAAAAATGTTCCCCTGGTCTCAACAACGCTTCTGTTGAGATTTACACTCAAAGTTACATTACTGTTTATAGAAAACTAGCATGGGTTTCATATGATCTGATGGTCATGGATACAGTGTGATTACATGAAGATTCCATTTCATGTACTTAATTCTCCCATCTTTCAGAATGGCTTTGCCTGAGAGCAAGGATAATTACTGTCACTTCTCTAGTGGAGACACTGTTTGGTAATGGTTAAGAAAGAATCACATGAATTTTAAGTTAATTCTTATGTCTGTAGCAATGTATAGCCTTTATTCCTCTTTGGAAAATATGCATAAGTAGCTTCCATCATCAGGCACTGGTAATACACATAAAACAGACAAATTTGTATGAAGACTTTTTTTTTTAACCTCTGAAAGGCAGCAACCTGATCTGAAAATATAGATCTTAAAAATGATTTCACTTTTGAAGCTTGTTTTAGTTTCCTGTACTATTTATGAAATAGCTGATTCAGAAATTAAAGATTACCATTGCTTAGTGTGATAAATTTCTTCTGTTTTCTTTCGGATGCTTTTTCTCTAGCTAAATAAATCCATCAGTGAATTTGCTGGTAAAAGGAATACTTCTTGGACAGAACACGGCAAGAAAGATTGCTGGGGAGATTCTCCCACTAATCAGGATAAAATGAAATCTGATGGATTAGGAGCATCTGGACATGCAGCGAGCACCAATAGAAACGCCCCTAGCAAGACTTCAAAGCATGAGGATGTAAAGGGAAAAGATGGCAAAAAAACAGTTTCCAAGCTTAATAAAGATTCAAAACCTGGGGAAAAAACTACTTCACCAAAGGCTAGAGCTGTTATAAAAACAAAAATAGAAAATAATGGAAATGCAAAGGCTGAAAGCATGCTTGCCAAGCAAGATGCTGAAAAGACATCCACTTCAAGTGGACAAAAAAATTCAGGAAGTGTCAAAGGATTAAAGAACCATGAAGGAAAAACAGCAGGTGCCAGACCTAAAGTGCTGACGGTAACCTCAAGTGTGCCCAGCAAAACAAAGCCATTAAAAAAAAACACTGGGAAGGAATCTCCATCCACCGCAACTACAGCAGGAACATCCAGCAAGTTAACAAACTCCAGCACAGATATCCAGGCTGCCAGTGAACAGACAGAAGAATCCAAAGAGGAAAAATTGGCAGAAGAAGGAAAAAAACATACTGGTAATTTATATATATATATATATGTATAAAATTATATATTATATAAATTATATATTTATTTATTTCCCAAAAAAGTCTTCTGAGCTGTCCCAGGCCAGCCAGGCACTGACAAACTCCCTGGGGAAACCTTAGAAGAAAACTATAGATTGATACAAGTGCCCTTTCTTTCCCCGTAAGCAAATATTAACTCTAGAAAACAGTGTACCATTATATACTTTACTAATTAGTATATTATTAGTATGCTAGTAGAGTATTAAATTCATAGACTTTGTTGTTAAAAAGTCTGTCCTCAACTGATATCCATATGAAATGCTGTAAGTTTTACAGGTTTAGCATCGATCTGATTTTCAATTGCTGACCTTCATATGTTAGATTTTTTTTTAGTGATATGCACTGCATTTTATCTGATAATTAAGTTAGAATTTACTTCACAACAGTGATAACGAAGTCTTCTTTGAAGACGTCAAATGGAGTCGCCAACAAAAAAAAAAAAGCTGATCCTGAAGTTAATACCACAACAAGCAGGTTTGTTACAGATCAGCACGGTGGGTTTTGTTGGTGTGTGTGCATGCATGCTTGTGAAATGGTATTTTTTTCAGTTGAACTGTTACACTTGCTATTAAAAGTCAACCTGTTCTTTTTAACCTGAGAATATTTCAGAATGACTGCCTATCACATGTTATTAACAAAATATTGAGTTAGTGGTTGGAGCTATTTTGCAAATGAAAGATTGGCTTGTTTTTTCTATTGCTTTTTTTTAATGCTAATTGTTTGAATGTTGTTATAGGTCATTCAGAATTCTGCATACTGGAACATTTAATGACTACCCAAGGTGTTGTAAAATTATCGTTTTGGGGATAGCTTAGACTGAGCTGCAAAAACACTGGACAGGAAGAAGTTCAAATCCTGTGAAATATTACACTGGTCATTTGTATTTTGATATATGAGTGTGTACGTGTGCCTGTATGCATATATGCACATATATAGGTGAATGTATATTTTCTTTCCAAAAGAAGTATACCTTTTAGGTTGGATTTTCAATGTTTTTATGTATGTGTATAGATTTAAACACATATACTGCTTGTTTAAATACAATCAAACATTGCTAATCTTGAAAATAATGCAAATGATTTATTTGCAGTCTAACAAAAAAAACAGCTGGAAAATTGTCCAGTGAACAGAATGCACAGGCTGTTCTAAAGAAGAAAGGGAATGGGAGCAGCAATGCTGCAGCACAGCAGAAGGCTCAGGACACACCTACCCATTCTCCTAAGAGCCAAGGTATAGTTTCACACTGCAATGAAACAGCCCTCTGTTGGTTTTTTTTTCCTTTTTACTGCAAGCATTGGCAAAATCTTGTGAGCAATTCTGTTTTCCGTATTTCACTTTTGGTGACAGCCCTAACCAGTGAAATGTATCCAAGTGTCAATTTTAACATATTTGAAGAGACGGCCTACAGTTTCACTTGTTGTTTTCTTCTGCTTTGATCTGCTTTGCAGAGCCTTTTACTTGCAGTTACCTTGTGCCACTGCAACTACAACTAGCATTATGTTCAACCAAAATCTGTAGGTCAAGCATTTATAATTAGCACAGAAGATCAGGACTGCAGACAGCTTCTTGAAGCATCAGTTTATGCCACCCTTTTTATTGATGCCCCCCAGAAATCACTGTACTGATGCTGACCTGCCTCAAACTAATTTCCACCACAAGTGTGGGAAATGACTTTATGAGCACAGAGAAGAAGCTCAGCATTACAGAGATACAAAGCATTCAGGATGGAGCTGTTCTTAATCTCATTTGAAGCTGGCACTCACCAACAGTGGTAGGAAAGCGTGTTCAAGTTGCATTATCCTATATGTATTATGATACAGAAAACATAGATCCTGTCAGTTTATGGTCATTAGAGATCTTGCAGCATTGTCAGGCAGAGCAGGGATATTAATTCTGGTATTCTAATCACATTATAACTAATGTAATTATTTTCTGCCTTCTCTCATTTCCTCTACAATATAAATTACATACAGTACTCATCACTTCCTGTGCTAAAATACTGTGCGTGTGCAGTGTTTTTATCCCTATCAGATAGCTGCTGCTTTCTGCTCCAGTGATGGCTTCTTCAGCAACAGGTCAAATTCCTTTATGTCTACAAAGCACTTTAGTTCCAGAGATGGTATGTTAAATACAAGATGCTGTTTTCATCTTGTGTTTATATTTAAGATCTCTGCTCTTTGTGCTTTAACAAGCTTTCCATTCTCTAGCTGCACAAAAACCTGAATAACCTGCTTCTCAACACAAACACACGCAAATACAAATTCAGTGCATAAATGTTGACTACAATGTACAATCTTTATTTATTAACTTATTTTACTGTCTGCTAGGAACTATGGGGGAGTCACCAAACTCACTGAAATCAGGAGTGTCTCCAAAACATAATGAAGAAAGAAATGTAGCACAACATCTGGTTCAGACAACACCCCCAGAAAAACATCCTTCGGCCAAGAAGAAGAGTATTAAGCCATCACAAACACCTGTAGCAAAAGCCACTGCAAAAATCGTAACGCCCAAAGCTCAAGCTCTGTCAAAGCATGGTGAGATAACAAACAATAAAGACCCAAAACCAAAAACAGCTGGGCAATCTGTATTAAAATCTCAGTCCTCTACCCCAAAACATTCAAGGTGTGAATCTCCTGTTGTCCAGAAGAATATGCAGACCTCTGAGCACAGAAGTCCAGGACAGAAACTTGGAAAAAATGCAGCTGATGTGGCAACTGTTCAGCCTCATGACAACAATGAATGCAGTTCTGCAAAGCAAAGTGAATGTCTGAAATCTGTGATGGGAGGTAGCAGAGAAGATGAGCTCCTGGCATCTTGTCAGCCCGATAAACAAAAGTTACTGGTTCCTGAAGACGGAGAATACAAAATACAATCAAAATCTTCTTTAGTTATAGGAGAAACGGTTTCTAAATTGCATGTTTCACTGCAAAATGGAATGGAAGCAAGAGAAATCTGTGGGGATCAGGCTGAAATTAATCAGAATAAAGACAGAAATTTAGCTGATAATACTGCTGAATTTTGCTGTCATGCACAGTCTACCAGTGATGAATACTCAGACTTTTCCAAGGAAACAAATCAAAATGCTGCTACTTCAGAAGAATTGGTAGAACAGCCAAAAGCAAAAAAAGTCTGCACGGAACAAAGTGATCAATTAAGCACTGATACGGGTCTTAACCATAGTGAAAACATTGTACCAAGCTTTTCCAAAGGGATAACTAATAAAGAGGATGTAACATCACCTCCTCACATTCACATGGAGGGATTTCGTCCAGCTGATGAGTCATGTGGCGCATCAGCCTTGCCTGAATACAAATCAGGTACAGTAGATTTAGATGATGTTTCAAAACATTCCATAGAACAAACAAGAGACAAATGTTCACATAATTACACAGAGTCTATTGATCCCACAGAAATGCCAGAAAACCAGGAAAATGCAGAAATTCCCTTTGTGGACCACTGGAATACTGGTGCACTAGATCCAAAAGAGAGTCCTGAATCAGATACTGGCAGTGCAACCACATCCTCTGATGATATAAAACCAAGATCAGAAGATTATGATGCTGGAGGCTCTCAAGATGATGAAGGATCCAATGAGAGAGGGATTTCTAAATGCAGCACCATGTTGTGCCATGATTTTCTTGGAAGAAGCAGCAGTGACACCAGTACACCTGAAGAATTAAAAATTTATGACAGCAGCCTTAGAATAGAAGTCAAAATGAAAAAAGAAGGCTCTGATCTCTTCCGTGTTAATTCAACAAGTGATGATGAAATACCAAGAAAAAAACCTGAAATTTGGTCTCATCAAGAAAGTGCAAGGAACAGAACCAGAGAAACTGAAAATTCTACTTTTGGCAATGCACCGTTTACTCAGGAAGCAGACCAAGTTTCTTCTTCTGCTGATGAAACAGAAGATGACAGATCTGAACCAGAAAATGTTGCAGGAAACATTCTTTCATCAAACGTTCCTGCTCAGCAGTTCCAAGGAATTGATAATTTAGCTTTCGAAGATGCAACAGAAAGTGCTACTGCAAGTCAAGAGTTTTCTAAAACTAAAAGTTTCAAACGATCTGTTTTACTTTCAGTAGATGAATGCGAAGAATTGGGATCTGATGACAGAGTGGAAACTCACACTTCACGTCAGCATTCAATAGATTCTCTTACTCCTTCAGACGTATTTGACAGTGTTTCCCAGGAGCACCATGGAAAGACTTTTTATTCAAGATACTCATTGGAAATTGAAGATGGATTCTTGGATTGCAAACAGCCTAAGGATCAAGACAACAGAATGGATGAAAGTGAAAGTTCTCTCCAACATCTTCATGGTACTGAAATCCCAGGGAAGGAGGATAAAGGTGCTTCAATGACTGAACAAAACTGTGCAGAGGAAGTACACTCAGTAGCTAGTCCTTGTCCAGGGGAAAAACTAAACACAAAGAATGAAGCGGCTACTGAATTTCAGCAGTGCAATAAATACTTAGACAATGATGCAAAATCTCAAGAAAGACCGTCTCATCTGAATCTTCATCAAAGAGAAACTAATGCTGATGTGCAAAAGAACAACTCCGCAAAACCTGCAGAAGCCAGTAAGAATCAGATACTGACTCAGGAAGGCCAAGTGAGAGACAGTCAACCAGCACCTACAGAATACGCTAATACTGATTTACTTCCAGGTAATGTACAGAAATAGAAACATTCAGTCGTTCAAAAGCAAGTTACTAGGGAAATCTTTGGCAATTTGTATGGGATTGAATCCTGAACTGAAGTAATTTTGGCTAAAATTACATTAAATTTAATTATTTTTAAGTATTTCACTTTGGTACAGAATGATTGTCTGAAATATCCGTAAATACTGTGCTGTTCAATGAGAAACGTTGAAAGAAATTTTAATGTAATGCTAAAAGAAAGATTGGATGCAGATTTCTGTACTTAAGTTATTTTTGATCCAATCTAACATTGACAGCATCTGATGGAAACTTAGTATTTGTTTTGTCTGCTTGACAACATATAGTATGTCTGAATGGGATGTGCAATAACTACAGTAATAACCTTAACTAAAGCGCACTGAACTGTTTACCTGCACAGCTATATGCATTACTGTTGTAATTTATTGATTTATATATTTCACATAAATTTGGATCCTTCTCCCACTGAATAACTATTTGCCATATTCATCAGTGGGAACAGGTTTGAATTCTGACTTAGAGCTTTTGAGATGTCTACGATTCTAAATTTTACCAGTAAAAGCTTATTTCCTAAAATAGAGATTATACTTAGAACTGATGCTTACACATAGAAAAGTTCTAATTTGTTTCATGTGGCTAGATGGAATACTTGTCTAGTTGTTTTGTGTTTTGTCTTCTTTATACCAGTAACTCAGTCTGTTTATCTCATCAAAAATATACAATAGTGTTATCAACTATTGTGTATTCAAGAGTAATGAAAAACTGATGATGATCTATGTTCAGCCAGACTACATAAAAAGAAGACATTAAAAGCTGTACTTTTTTTTTTGAAGTTTGCTTGCCCTTGCCTGCAGCTGCCCTTGCATGTGCAATGTGGAAATAAGCCTGTGGATAAACTATTTTGTTTTTAATTCTTTCCTAAGCTGACATAGCTTAAGTCACCATACAGTAATCATTCTCTATTAATTATTTCCATGCACCTCCTGGTCTAAATTTAATTTATGTAGTAAATGAGAAATTTCATGTGCATTAAGTGTGTATTTACATTGTCATTTTCTGTATCAGAAACTTAATTATGGAGGTTATTGTTAATTATCAGTGGTGATCGCTGCTTTAACTTAATTTATAAACCATACTTTGTTTTCTATATAGGAAATAAATGCCTAAAATTTTGTCAATTTTGTATAACCCTCCATCATTCCCTTTATAACCTGGTTGGATTATCTTTCCTCAATGAGTTAAGTTTTGCTCTACACAACCCTTGAGGGGAGGATCATCTGCAATTTTTACATTGTACAGTATTGTGAATTATTTCAGGAGACATAGATGATTATGACACAATGGCACAAACCTGCATGTATGAGCATCGGCCTTCAAAAACCCTTTCTCCAATATATGAGATGGATGTTGGAGAAGCAATTGAACAGAGGATGGATTCAGAAACAGCAGTTCTTGACGTGGATTTTGAAGATCAGCAGTTTGTAGAACAGGACTGGACTCTTCTCAGGCAACTGTTATCTGAACAGGACTCAAACATAGGTTTCAAAAACTCTGTTCCTGAAGACCTTAACTTAGCACAATGTCTAATCAATCAGACGCTGTTTCTGGCACGAGATGGTTCAAATCCTCAGGGTACATCACAAGTTGACACATTCAGTAGGTGGACTGAGCTTATGTCTCCACTTGATGATTCTTCAGCAAGCATTACAGTGGCAAGCTTTTCATCTGAAGACTGTTCTTCCCCTCAAGGGGAATGGACAATTCTTGAACTGGAAACTCATCATTAAGGTGATCAAATGTTTGAAACCTAACTCCAACCCGTTCCCCAAATCTATTTTTGATGTGTTGTTTCCATACAGTGAAATACTGCATCAGTCAAGAGCAAGCAATTCTTGGTACTGAGGCAATCTTTCTGATATGAGGTAAATATGTTAATTTATAATCTAGATTTAATTGCAAGTACAGAAATTTTTCAAGTCTTAACCGTATGTCTTTTCTAAAATGAACTTTGAGCATGTATTTTCTAGACTTGTTAGAAAAATTAGATGACATGAAAGAAAGATCTTGGTCTCCTCTCTGCTTTTATCTTCCTTTTGGCCACTTCATATGCTCATTGAGCAAGAGATTAAAGATAACTGCACCTTTAGTAGGGCTACTCCCTCCTTTTTTTCTTCTCCCTCTCTATATGGTGACTTCATTTTACAACAATAAAGATTCAGACTGGTTATGTCAAAAGGTCATGAGTGCCAACACTGCTTTTAATACTAGAAACATATTTTTGTTCACAGAAGAGGTTTCAATAGGAATCCTGTTTGGGCTTATGAATAAGAACAGATTTTCATCTGTTGCTGCCAGACTTCATATTTTACTACTTATTGTTTGCTTTGTTTACAAGTTTCTAATAATTTTTTAAGTGTTATTCCCTTCAAATACTTCTATATAAAGGGTCTGTGCTAGAGGAAGGGCATCACTTCTTTCTTGAAAATGTACTTAAGTAAATATTTTTTTAATGGCATAGTACATTAATTGAGAGGAGTTGGGAGAATGCTGCTCGTGTTTGAAAAACAGCATGTCTGATATTTGTGAAAGTATACATTTCAAGACCTGGTAGAAGTTATCTAGTCTGGTGACTCTTGTCTTTCACACAGTTGAAAACCTGAAGTATTCTATCTCCTCTTAGTCACCAAGAGGAAAAGTGCCTTCATAAGAGCCATATGGCAGTAAGAGGCTACTAATAGTTTGGGGTTTTTTTGTTAGAACTGTTTAAGATAAACATACAACGTGTGCTGACTATAACCATTGGTAATAAGGTCAGTTTTGCAAACTTTTGTGTAACTCTGACAGTGCACCTTAATTTTGTTTAGGAACTTCATTTATTTTGTTCATGATCAGAAACTCAGCTGTGTCAAAATATGACTGAAGACAGACCTTGTCTTATCTTTGGATTTGACATAATAAAGAGCTCTGAGGCAAAACATCTACTCAAGAATGCTACTTTGTTGCATTTCTGATACAGAAGCAAAAGTGATGTTTTCCACAAAATAATTGGAAGAGGAAAATTAGGTCATTCTTTAACATCAAGAAAGCAGGCAGAAAAAAGTTAGTTTTCCTTTCTGTTTGACAATGATCTTAAAAACCCATGGAAGAAAGATATTCAACATGATAATTAAAAACCTTTCCTGTACTACTGAATTATACTACTGAAAAATAACTGACAACTAGCCCACAAAGCTTCACATGCATTGTACTGGAATACAATCATATTACAGGGTTGTGGGTGGGTTTTGTTTGTAGTTAATTTTCATACTACAGCTGAGAAAGCAAGACAGATTCTCTTCTCAAGTCCCCACTGATGCTGGTGCTATTTCTGCAATAGTTTTGTAGTAGACCAGTGCGGAGAACTTGGTGTATTATTCAGTTGATGTATACTGATGCAAGAACAGAATTCAGCCATGTTGTTTCTGTAGAAGTAGCAGGAAGAGAAAGTCGTATTGTTTTTAATTCATACTACCCGACTGCCTGTGAGCCTTAATCAGACCAGTATCCCACTGGCGAGACACTGTACAAACACAGAATTAAAGCAAGAACTTCCACAGAGTGCTTATAATCCAAGTTAAGACAAAAGATTAAAAAAAAAAAAAAAAACAAAAAAACCACAACATAGATGGAAAAGAATCAGAGTCAATATTTGCCCACCTGATTAGCAATGGTTTCAGTGCATCATCAGCTTGAATACTTTTTCTTGTCCTCTGTATTCATTATGGGAAGGGAAAGTGGGAGGGTAAGATTTGAAGACCAGATAATGAGGGACAAATCCTTGTTTGAAACCTTAATACACAGGCAATCAAAGCTAGCATCATGGGCCCCAAGTAAATTATAAGAGCTCCCACTGAGCTGCAAAGTGAAGACTGGGTATGTACAGCTGAGGAAAGGGCAGAGGGGAAATCAGCGATGATAATGAAGAGACAACATAGTCAAAGCTATTGCTAAGGACTTCTCTTGGCAGTAGTATTTTAAATGAAACAGGGCAATACAATTGCTTTCGTCAAAACCTAAGGTGAGAAAGGTACAGACAAAAGGTAACAAGTTACATGAAATTCAGTTATGTGTGGATAAAGAAGTCTGTACCCTACAGGTACAGCTGAGAAATTCAGAACAGGACTTAGACTTTACAGTGATGACCCTGCTCTTGCCTAACCTGAACAACATTTTACCAAGTGAAAAAAAACCTGTTTAACTGTTTTTAGATGTTTAATGGATATGGATACATTAAGTTTAAAATAGGTTAGACCTTCAAAACATTATGTCAGTAGGTGTAATTACCATTCTTGCTTGGAAAAATAAGAGTCTAGATGGCACTGGAGGAGTTGTTATGACCATTTTTACACTTTACTGCTAGCAAAACTGTATTTGTGCAGCAAATCACATATTGTAGAGAATAAAAGCAAAAGCTGAGGCTGAATACTGAAAGCATTGAGGAAAGTGGAGGTTCTTCTAAAGGATTTGCTGAAAACAGAATTAGGGAAGCTAAGGAAAGTGTCAAAGATGGGGACAGGAGTCAAATGAGGAAGGAATAGCAGTGTTGAGGTTAGGTAAGAAAACGTTCCAAGATGCGATCAAAAGGAGATTCTGGCTTCTTTCAAAAGAATGGCCAGCAGATCCCATTGGGAAGAATATGAGAGAATATTAGTAAGGAAACTCTTAACATGAAGAGAGACGTAATAGTTAGCAAAACTCTTCAGTTAATGTATTTACTTTGGGTTTTAAAGGCATGAGATATACTCATGAAGCACAGCAAAAGAATTCAGTAAACAAACTGCTCACAGGAAACAGTTAATTCAGATAAAAATATGCACATTATAATAAAAATCTAAGTATTGTTGGAAAAGATTAGTAATAAAGTTCAAGAAATATGGCTTGCTGGCAATATTTTAATTTCTGGGTAATGTGTGACTTGAACGTACATGTTTAATGAACTTATTCCACATTTTTCTTCGCAAGGTATTAGATCTATTTCAAAACAGTACTGAATTCTCAATTTTATTACTGGGAGGAGCCAGTGGGCAAGGAACTTCCCCCTTTTTCCTCACACATACACTGTCCATGAGTTCCCCTAACACTGTCTTTCAGGAAACATAACAAAAAATTAAATCACCTGTTCCAAGTACAGATTAAAGGAAAGTATTTTAAAATTGAGTTATGTCATCTGCAAAGTAATTGCTAGCATGCTCATCCTACTTTCAGTAATCTAAACCTTTGCATGAAGCAAGTAAGAACAGCTATTATGTCGTTCATCAGTTGCTCAGAACATTTGAATAGATATAGTTTTGCTACCACTAACATCAAAGGAAAAACTGTTGACCTCAGCTGAAGCAGGTTCAGGACTTAGCTTTATTAAATGCATGTACTAGAAATGCTACTTTTCCAATATATGTATTTCACACTCCTCTGATTTTTATTCTAACTTATAATATCTTACTATTGTAAATGTGACAAATGGCAGCTATAAAGACTTCAATTTAGGAGTCATAATTGTATGTGTTCTGTTAATATTTCATGACTAGAGTGATTTAACATTTCTACATTGATAGATGACATTCTTGCCAGGACTGTGCAGGAACTGAGGACAAAAGACAGAAGCAGCAGCCCTGTTAGAACAGATGACTCCATGAAAATGGGCTTTTAGATTTGAAAATGCAACATAGATAAAAGCTTTGATCTCTTGCAGCAAATTCATAGTGGTTTCCACCTGTATCTTTTGAACACAAGCTACAGAGACTGTTTTTCAAAAATAAGCTCTACTGTGCTCAGTTTTGGAAAAATCACAGCTCCAATCCATTCACTTAAAATGAAGCTTCCTATCAGCAGCTACTGCATATGTTTAAGAAAACAACGCTTGTTACAGAGGAAGATAATTTACACTAAAAGCAGCTCTCAATTTAAAAAAAACCTGGTTCCTATTTTTCTTAACTGTTGATAACTGTTAAGTGAATAAGCTATACAGGGCATGTATGCACATGCACACCTGTTTACTCTTATATTTGACCTTCCCTTTATACTTGCTGTGTAATCATCTGCCCTGTATAGTCAATTCGGCTATAGTTCTGCAAATGTAAGTGAATGCACTTCAACATTTGCAGACTGGCTTTCAGGTTAAAACCTTTTCAGGTTCACTTCTCAGAAAGGGTAATGGAACTGGCACCGGGGGCAGGCAATATGCATATTCATGTTATGTGTTACTCAACTTAATGAGGCTCTAATCTTGATCAGCCATCTGGAAGCAGTTAAAGTATGAGATAATTAACAATGCAAAGCCATCAAGTTGCTTCCTTGATATATTGCTGGAGTTCCCAGCTCAGAAGTCCCTTCAGATAGAGAAATCAAAGTTCTGCAATACAGCATTTTGCATTACACGCAACGAAAGACCTACTGCAGTGTAATATCTTCAAGATCCAAAGTCTCAGTACTTGGGGCAGGAGGAGCAAGTGAATACTCTGGTCAATCTGAATAGACTCACATGTACAAACCCAGGGGCAATTCATCCGATCTTATGCACACAACTAAATGGGACATTGATGTTTTTTCAGCTCCCACTGAGGTTAGCATGAACAGTATCATATCTGTATTTATAAGAATCAGGATATTTTAAAGTATTTGAACAGAAAGATTGATAATCAGAATAAAGTTCTGGCTTATATATCACCTTGAAACCAAGCTGAGTAAGAGTGTAACAAATGACTGAAGTCCACATCCTCATAGCTGCAATCTTTACGCAGTACTCTGGTACCACCCTGGGTTTACCCCAATCAAGCACATGTGTGATTATCTCAAACTCGTGCTTACTGAGATCGCTTCAGCTCTTCACTTTTTTATAATCCCCTCTGAACATGGCATCCTGCATCTCCATAGAATTGTAACAATGTGCTGAAGATTAACAGACAAACCAAATTCAGCGTAGGTAGCATCAAAACTTCGTTACCTTCATAGAATGAGGCAGTTTTCACACCTATGAACTTAAGTCCCACCTCTTAGTGAAGTTTCCTATCTGTAACAAAATTCCTGCCTGTGTCGCTGTGGTAGAGCAAGAAATTAAAATCCCTGTATTTTGGACTATCACACTCCAGTAATTTAGATGAGTCTATTTATATAAGAGTAATAGGATGCAGTTAGAGAAGAGTTTTGAGTTGCTACCTGTAGTCCATGGCATTAAAATCCTTTTTATATTTTAACCATTT